CTTTGCGGCAGGATTCGCGTAATGATTGGAAGAAAAATATTTACAACCAGCCTTGGTCGATGAGATAAGTACAGTGGGCGACGGGAAAAAAATGAAGCGGGGGTGCGGCAGGGCTTTGCAAGAGCCCAATGACCAAGCGCGACGATGTTGCCAATAACAACAATAACAAAAAAGCAAGCCCAATGCTAACCATTATGAAACACGCCAGACATAAGGATCATCCCAGAAGTCCCCTAAACACCCGAGGGCTGCAAACCTCCAACCTCGTAAGGAAATGGACAAATATGAAATAAACATAACATAGGGAGTATGCAAAAACATGCCTTTTTCGCCTCATGTGTTCATAGTCGCAATAAAACAGACCCCTAAGAATTCGCCCATACCCAGATATAAGGTCATACGCACAGACCATGTCTAAAACTGTAGTGAGAGAAAATATCGTCCAATATAAGTAATGTGCATGAACGTTAAAAAAAAGCGTTACGCGTGACATCATAAGTCTCAGTCGTTGTTGCTCAATGACCGACCGGGAGCCATGTTCTCCTTTCATCCATGCTCCGGTTCGCACGGCCCCCTGGCGTTAAGGGTATCTCGACACGCGCCCGATCACGGCGCTCAGGGTCGCTGTCAGAGTCGTATGCGTCTGACAACCGCGAGAAGTAATCTGCCAATCCGTTCGTAGGCGATGCAATCGTTTCGTAAAGCGGCGGGGGCGTCTCCAGTGGCGGCGGTGGCTCGATTTCAGAGAAGGCCGGTGGATTGAACGAGGGTACGCGCAGGAGATGCATCGGTCGTGGAACGGTAGAATCGTTTGGTCCACCGATATGTGCTGCCTGCGGTCGAGTGATCCCTGATGCAGGTGATGGTAGCGGTGGTTCGGTATGGCCTCTTGGCCGGCCCATACTGCCCAAGGTTGGTACAAAGCCTGGTGGAGATGGGCGGCGAGATGGTGCGTCGGGACATCCGCACTCAGGAACCCGCGCCCCACTCATCAAAGGTTCGGGTGATGAGTAAGCTGGTAGTGCTATATTTGCTTGCGTAGCTTGACATGAAAGGATATGGAAAGGTGAATCAATTGAGATTTCAAAGTGTCGTCGTTTTGACGGATCATTTGTGTCAGGTTTCGAAAGGCGCATGACGAGCTAAGAGAGTGTTAGCATATGCGACAGCAATCCCTTTAATGTAGACTTACCTTTATCCAATGATGCACCTGGATGTTCTGGTATGTCGTGTCAAAGTGCAGCTTTGATGACTTGTCCTTCTCTCGGAGGTTGTGACAGCTTGGCAATTGCACATTGAACTCCATTTCGGTCGGACCAATGTTTGAGTCGGCGCTGAGATTACCCAGCAGATTGGTAGGGTCTTCTACCGATACATCTTCGCCGCGAGAAGCTGCCGCACGCTGGTCGTATGGGACACCACCTCCAGACACTATCCGCATAGTGCTGCCAGGGAAAGTGCTCGTCGGCGGGCCATCTGCGCGTTTCTCGAATAGTTGGACCTTACGCACTGGTTCCATCCGATGTACTCGCTTATTATTGCAAAAGTACTCGACATTCTCAGTGACAAACACCTTTATCCGATGGCATTGGACCTTGGCGAGTGGGGTCAGTTTAAAAGCAATTGGAACTTGTGCCCCGAGCGGAAACGATTTGCCCGAGATAACAATGTCATAGTGAAGCTGATCTTCCCAGCTGCGGCTGATGGCAATGGGCTCCACTTGCTCTAGCGATCCTTCTGAGGGTGCACGGATGAGTGTAACTTCCTTGGTACCAATGAGGTTGGTGCGGAAGGCCCCGGCACGCTCGACAGTGGCTTCAAGCTCGTACTTTACTGAACCAAGGTCGACGTCAATAGTCTCGGGAAGGTGACTGTCTAGCGGCAACTCGAAGTTGTACATGTACTCGCCAGGATTAAAGGTTCTGTAACCTTTCTGTGCTACCGAAGGGCCACCGCCAGGGGTGTCACCCTTGCCGAAGCTTCGGGATTGGTTAACTTGGAGTGATAACCGTTTTGCTTCTTTTGTCGTGAGGTTCAATGAAGAATTGTTGGGCGAACCAGTCAAGCCACCGGAACTCTTGTATAGTTCCACATGATCTGCACCAGTGCCATTTTCTGCCGTTGGGAATTGAGAGTTGAAGAATGGCCAGGTGTGGCTCATCAGGGTGTCCACCTCTTCAAATTCAGTCTTCTTTGGGGGGATACCTATTGATAGTCAGTATTGTAATATGCACAAAAAGGGCGTGTGATTAACCTTCTGGCCATTTTGTGGTTGCTTTGCCCCGGAATTTCAAAGTGACGGCCTTTAGTTTCGCTGATTTGGTGATCTTCAGGCACAGGGTACCGCGCAACATTGCAGTATTGCGCTCACCGTTCTCGGCTTGCTCAAAGCCCCGAAGAAACAAAACTGGTTCGGTGAGCTGCACATTGACGCTCAAGCCACCCCCCGAAGCTATTGGTTTTTCTTCAGGCACGGGCTTCACGCTGCTTATCGCGCTCTTGGTAGATGAACGCCCAGAGGACCAATGTGACTCTGTCGAGGGTCTTGAAATGCCGGTTGCAGCCAATGTCCCACCAATTGCGCCGACGGCGTCGCTGGGGGAGTTTCTCGAAAGCGACCTCATGTCGCGGGAGCGTGGCTCTGGAATTGAGGTAATGGAGCTGCGGTTGCTGCTAGAGCCACTCGTTGATGAGCGTGGGGTAGGAAGGTCTGCAGCTTCGGGTTTGGAAGAGAGGCGGTTATCAAGCAGAGAGCGGAAGAACCGTTTAGCGCCTTCGTGATGGATCGCCAGTTTTTCGGTGATGTACGACTTCTCAGTCGTTCGTCGTCGCTGAATGCGAAGTAGGGGATCGGGTCCTACGTGAGCGATGTGAATGCGGTGTGGTCGACGATTGCGACCTTGGAATGTGCCGCGGTTTGTTCTTATTGGGTCTTCTAGATGGTCGGGAATATAACGTAAACGGCCACGATCAGAGTATACAGGTTGGTACTCTGGCATGTCGATGGTGTGTTAGTACGTGTGTCAATTGCAGGTAAACGGGATGATGAGGCGATGCATGCGGCGAGCGATGTCTTATAGAGCGTAGGTGTATGTGTATGTGTGTAGAGGACAAGAATATACGAGGGCTTGAGGAATAGAATAGTTCCGAGTCATGAACGGGACACAGAGATGTTTGGTCAAGGCAACCCAACCATGGTCCTTGTCGATGCTTTTGGTAAGGAGGTTGTGGGTTGGGCGCTACGGAGACAAAGGGTCCGGGTGTAGTGAAGGGGAAATGAGGCGAGGACTTACAGGCAGGATTCAAGGTATCAAGATGCTACGGTGAGCATAGTGATGTGTAAATGGGATGGATCCGCACGACAGGCCGCTATAATAATGTGGAGCGGTGTGGTTGCTGGGGAGTCGGAAGGGAGCGGGTTTGCCCTATTACTGAGCGTCTGCAGTATCGGTAAAGACGAGTGTTTTGTCAGGTGAATAATGGTGCGGGCGACAGGGACATGGAGTGTTTTGAGGTGTGCCCAAACTAGCATGCATTCATTTTACGGGCGGGCATGTCAGACTAAGCCAGGACAGACGGCGAAAGTATGCCGGGGCGCAAGTGCAGGGAACCGGATGACGCGGACTCGTCAGTGTGCTGTTGCTCGGCGGGGGCTGCGGCACTAGGCAGGCCGAGGGTGAAGGGGTGCGCAGTGGGCTCTGCAGCGGCACGAGTGCGTGGGCGAGGGAGGGATGGTATGTAGTAGGTCGTAGTAGAGTAATTTGCGCGTCAAGGAGCAACACAAGTGAGTCGGGACAGTCGTCTAGCCGCGGAGATCGACTAGGCATGGGATTAAATGAGGTGTAGTAAGCTTGCGTGGACGGAGGCTCGGATGCATGACATCATGGCTGGCATCCAGAGATTGCAAGGCGCTGGAGACAAGCAGCAAGCGTTGCTTTCTGAACTGCTATCATCTGCTTCTAGACCGTTTGCCGGCTAGCGACCGACGCCGGCGGCTCACCCGGCAAGGTACTGAGATCGACGGATCATGACCTTGGTCTACCTGCCAAGGTTGCACGCAGTCGTGACATGGACGCAGACGACCAGACATGTACGCGCAGCTGGCGAGAGACGACATGGCAGTGCCCGCATTGCCCGCATCTCTATCTGGGCGAGCCTGGGCATGGTCATTGTGTGCCTGGGCAATGCGCGGGCTCAGGCTGACAGCGTCCATGCGACGAGCAGCAGCAGCAGCAGCCGTAGCCGCAGTCTGTTCACGTACAGTACTGTAGTATGGTCTGTATACACCCAGTAGTGCTGCCATAAGCCCGCCAGGCAAACCAAGCGCAACGACCGTCTCATGCAACCGACAAAACTCGTACTCCGCGTGCCCTAGCACTCGCACTCGGCGCTTGCACCATAGCCTGGACCCGGGGGCAGTTGACGCAGTATTGGCAGGGCATCAGCGGCATGCGTCCCACCATGGCATGGGTGTCGAAAAGAAAAGTGTATGCCTCAATCCAGTACCGATCGCCGTCTGGGGGTGCTGAATCTGGAGGCAGGTTGCGCTATCGGCAGCAGAGCAGGTTACTGCCAACTCGCCGCCCCAAATGCGCGATCTCAGGAACAGGGCGGTTCGTCATGATGCCATCCCTGGAACAGTCGGATCAAGGCTTGGGGGTCTGAGTGGATACGCGGCAGAGGAAAAGCTTTTTTTTCTTGCTCTTGCATTTGCGTGGCCATTTATGGATCGCCTGGGGAGATCGCTCGACACAGAGCGGAAGGAGCAGCGAGATGGCGCCGACGCCGACGCGAGACGAGACGAGGCGAGGCGAGAGCCCGCCAAGGCCAGGAGAATTCTCTGACCGACAAGTCCAGGGCGGGGTCACGTGACTTCGCCTTTGCCAGGCTTCCCCGCAACGCGCCCGCGCGCCGCAATCGGGCTTAGCTCGGACACGCTGCTCGTTCGGCGCTTCACTTCGACACAACAATCGTGACCTGCGCATGCCGCCACGACGGTGATGGACGCAACAGATGGAGCCTATGGTGCGTTTCGGGCTCCGATACACTGCTCGCCCACATGGACTTACACAATCCAGGGACAAGCCAACTGCCCCTGGCTGGGGCCATCCTCTGCTGCACCTCGATTCCCCCCGAGCAGCGCGTATGCCCACCACCGCCCTGTTTTCTGTATCGCGCCTGCTAACCCCATGTCACTGTGCAGTCGCAACTCGCAGCCATTGGCGCGCAGATGGGCGCCACCATCAAGCTTGACCTCACTTCAGACGTTACCCACCTGATCGTTGGCAGCATCGACAGCGCAAAATATCGCTATGTCGCAAAGTCCCGCGACGACGTCAAGGTTCTCTCCCCCGCATGGCTCGAGGCTCTCCGCGAGGTCTGGATGAGTGGAGACGACGATCTGGATCTGGCAGCATTGGAAAAGGAATATCGCATGCCTACTTTTTTTGGCCTCAAGATATGCCTCACTGGCTTTGACAACCGTACAGCACCACCCCCACCCCCACACGTGCAACTATCCCACGCTGACCCCCCAATAGCTGAACAACGACGGAGTATCCAGGAGTCAATCGACACAAACGGCGCCGAATACCATGGCGACCTTACCAAATCCGTGACCCATCTCATCGCCGCCACGCCATCGGGCAAGAAATACGAGCATGCTGTGAATTGGAGAATGAAGATTGTATCTCTCGAATGGCTGGAGCAGAGTCTAGAGAGAGGCATGGCGCTCGAAGAGTCCCTCTACAACCCAACCATGCCCGTCGAAGAGCGGGGCCAGGGCGCCTGGGACCGCAGACAGCCCATGTCGCCCGCCATGGGCAAACGCACACGAGACGCCGAACCGAGCCAAGCACTCAATCCGTTCCGAAGAAAGCTGCGACGTTCAGCGAGCACAAAGTTGGGCAGCCAGAGCGATGCTCTATGGGCGGGCATTACTGCGCCAAGCTTCGAGAGACCGATCGACGAGGACGAGTGGACTGAAGACATTATTGCTAAGCAGCAAAGCACACGAGCAAGTACACGCACACATACACCCGTGTCGCCTGGCAGAGATGCGTCTACCCTCGCACATGATGCGCTTGCCGAGTCGAAGCTTCGAGACCCTGCAGATGCCCAGCAATCACCCCTGCCTTTGCAGCCTGACAATGATTCCGGATATAATGGCATTTTCCAAGGGCGCCTCATTTGCCCACATGGATTTGATGCAGAAAAGGTCCAACATTCCCCACCCATGTGCTTTAGACCCTGCTGACATGCTGGTAGACAAGCATTTTGCGGCAACATCTTGAGAGTAATGGTGCGCGAGTCATCCGCGTCATTGACCTCAACAATTTCCCATTGGATCAACTCAAACAAAGCTATGTCGTGATACCGCATGACGCTGAGATTGATCTGACGGCACTTCCGGCCCATGCCGGGTCATATGTAAGCTGGGTCACCAATTGGTGGGTCGAGCGTTGTCTGCATGGCAAGCGCCTCATTGACCCTTCAGACGACATCCTAAGCCGTCCTTTTGAAAGACTAAGCATTAGTGGTACGTTTGTGGCCCACAAATCCCTTATTGGTTCTGACGTCGCCAGGGTTCTCCGGCTTGATCATCAACTCCACGGGGTTTTCCGGCATCGAATTGCTGCATGTGACTAAAGTCGTCACACTTATGGGTATGTGAATATTCGAATAAACCCGCACCTACTGCAGCGGTCTGACTCATTCGACAGGCGCCACGTATGATGAACAACTGTCAGTGAAGACATCAGTAGTGATCTGCAATCCTCCCACTGTGAACACACCAAAAATCAAATTTGCGACGAGCAAGCGCATACCAGCTGTTCACGTCACTTGGCTGTGGGCATGCCTGCGCAGCGGACGACTGCAGTCATATGACGAGTATCAATTAAATAAAACGGCTCAGCCACCACCGCAGGATCCAAAGCAAAAACCCCAGCCACAAGCAAACGTAGATACTGAGCCACTTCCCGAGGGCCCATCCAAGCCTCATCAGAAAGCGCAGACTGCGAACGCCGCGTCGAGACAGCCACGGCAACAAATACCTCAACGGCCTGGCGGACTTAATCTTGCACCATCCGTCGATGCGGCCTTGCCAGTAACAGCTAACAAGTCAGCCTCTCGCAGTAAAGATAGCAATAACCTAAATCAAGACGATGATCCGATCATCAGCGGATATGATGGCGGAGCAGAGCATCCCCATCAGGCAACCAGTGCTGCCTCTCCACACCGACCATCAACCCCATCAAACGATTCATATAATTTCTCACGGCCAAGAAGCTCATCTGCGGAATCGCTCATTGCCCCCGCGTCCCGCAAAACCAAAAACAATCAAACCACAGTCACCAGACCCTTAGACTCGGAACCTGGACCGGATGCTGTCATTCCGCTAGATACCGAGCCGCTAGTCCCGCAAGAAGCGCCCAAGCCTCGAGAAACAGCAGAAGAGAAAGACTACTCGTCTATTCTAGCGCAACTACGTGCCAATCGTAAGACTGCACCTGGTCCTAGTGATCAGGCTACGTCAAAAACACGCATACGGCGTCAGCTCGGCCGGGCAACATCGACACGTTCCAATGCATCGGGTGGGGAAAGCTCAGGTGATATACTTGCAGATGATGATAACGAGAACACTGTAGTGATAGAGGAATATCAGGCCAGTCAGACATTGGGTTGGGACTCGCCAGGTGCGGCTAAAGCAAGAGAGCAAATGATTCGGAAACTCGGCGGTACCGTGCAGGAGAAAAGCATTGCTGTTGAGGAAATCGGTGTCGTAAGAGATGTTGGCGGTGAAGAGCTGCTAGGAAGAGCAGGGAGAAAGAGGAGAGGATGAAACGTGTGAAATGTGCATATGTGACTTGTATATGTATGCGGAGCATTCTGGATTCACGGCATCAAATTAGCATGAAATGAGCGCATAGCGAGGGTGTTTTGGGTAAAAATGCATATAGACAAGATAGCATCTGGATATTATAATGACTTACCATAACTCTATTTCTTAATACACTCGCATCCCTAACCTTAGATCCCATACGTAACCTTCAGCCTCCTCTCCAAATGCCCCTTGGCCGTAATAACCCCATCCTCCCCTTCCTCACTCAACCCCAACCTCCGCCTCTGACTCCTCAATTCCGTCTCCCCCTTGCCCTCACGCCCAAACTCCTCAATCAGCGCACTAGGTACAGCCTCCAACCGCACATCATCCAGCGGATGACAAAAATACGCCATGCTATACCTCTCCTCGCCACCCCCAAACGTCACCCGATGCACCGTCGACTTGAGCAGCCCATTCGTCCAATAACACAGCAAATCCCCAATGTTTACCAGAATAGGCGGATGCTCAAGAGCATCTGGATCGGGATTCACCGGCACGGGAACCCAGCTTTCCCCATGTTGCTTCGTTAGCAGCTCCAAGCCTGCCTGCCCGGGGAGCCGGAACAGCAGGGTGACGCTACCGTAATCCGAGTGCGCGCCTGCGCGGATGCTGGTTTCGTTGGTGGTCGCCGTGGATGACGTCTTGGGGTAGTACAGCAGACGGAAGATGGTGCCTGAGGGCCCGCGAGACTGGTCGTGGCGGGTGCTGAAGTAGTCTTTTTCGGGGATTTTGAGGGCCGTGGAGAGGAGAGAGAGGATGTGCGTGCAGAGGGTGTGGCAGCAGGTTTGGAAGCGGGATATTAGGGGTGTGGACGAGGAGAGGGGAGAGGGGAGTGGTTGGAGGGTGGGTTGGGGTGGGGCGATGTTGAAGGCTTCTTTTGGGTCACCTTGCTATGAGGGGAGGTTCTCTGTTAGGAGAGTGGAGGTAAGAGGGGGGGTTTGGGTGGTTACTATTACCTTTTGGCCTTGGGGGTCGAGCGATTCACCTTGCATGGATACCCACCCGCGGTTTATGCCGCCTGCTTTGTCTGAGTGGATTGCGTACTCGGCTTTTTGTTCTTTGGGTGAGGCGAAGAATTGTTTGCTCTGATGTGGTTAGTTCTGATAGTTATCTGTTTGGTTGATGATGTGATTGCTGGTCTTACAAGTTTGAACATATCGTCTATGTCTTGAGGTGGGATGGTTACACCATCATTCTTGATGTAGAGAAAGCCATGTTTGGATGCTGCAGCGAGAACTTGCTGGGCTACCTCCTCGGATGGATTCGATATGTCAATGACAGGGATAGAGCCCTGGTCGTGCTTGATGCTAGTCATTTTGTATAAAGTTCGTATAGGAGATTGAAAGAGTGAAGATCATAGATAACACAAGTGAGGGGCAATGCTCGTATTCCAACGGCTGATGCACTAAACGAAGTCTATGCAGAGAGGCTGCAATGCTTGCAATTTCCAAATTTAAGATTTTCCAGCTGAAGTATGCCGCCGGTTCATTTACTACACCTCCATACGCCATGCACTCGCGTAGCAGTGCGGCACTGTACCTGAACTAGCGCCCGGCTGATCAGGGATTCTAAAGTTCCCACGTTACACGCCAAGACATGGAGCTGCGTCGGAGCTCCCAATTTCCCTACACAAGCACCCCGCAAACACTTCCAATTCATCCACGGTTGCCCTGACCATAATCCTACCACACTAGTACCACGGTATCATTTCCAAACTTATATTAGACCACCTTTTCGCATATTCCACCCCTCATTCCCACCGCCTATCTGGCAAGTCACACCCGCGACTGGCGCCATGATCCGCGACTTTGTGCAATGGACGGCCGCCTTCAGCGAGACTGGTGAGCTCGAGCAGTTACGCGGCTGCCGCGTAGGCATTGAGGCCGCCGAGTATCTCAACCAGCGTATTCTCAACCACCCCCGCGCAAAGGAGCCCCTCGTCCCCGCACTCGGAGGTCTCCCATTGGCATTGGCGCAACACATCGAGGAAGATCTGGCCGCTTTCCGCAGTTTCGAGATTGAGCCTTACTTTGTATTCAGTGGGTTGGACACCACAAAGCAAGGAAACCCGTTCGGGCACAAGACCGCAGAGGCGACTGTGAATGCAGACGCATGGAATTTGTACGACAGTCACCAGGCTGAGGCCTCAGTCGCTCGGTTTGGAGAGTCAAGTATGGCAGTGGGAAAGGACTTGGTTTGCATACGGTACTGACTGGTTATAGCATACGTCACACCAGAAGACCTCTTTCGCGCATTGCAATCTATCCTTACCGAACAAAAGACCCGCTGGATGGTTGCACCTTACAGTGCCTGGGCTCAGGTAACAGACACAACACAGATGTGGTAGCAAGGCCTAATAATTTACAGCTAGCATATCTTGAGAAGACCGAATACGTCCACGCCATCGCCGCTTCGTCAGATGCCCTCATCTTCGAGGCCACCCGAATCATCACATCATGGGACTTTGAGGCGCGGCAATTCAGCTTCATACGACGAGAGAAATGTATTGCCGATCTGTCCAAGTTCGTCAGCGCTCCTCAGATTTCCGACGATGTCTTTCTTGACACTTGCATACTGGCTGGAACACCATTCCTCCCCACACTACCCATATTGGATGCGCCAAACAGGGCAGAGCTTTTGAAGCCTTACAGTGCCATTAAGATGATTATGAGCAACGGTCAGTCGGGCTACTCTGTTGTCGTTAGCAACAACGATGTCCCGCCCTCTGGGAAAGAGTATGTGACTAGGTACCAAAAGGCACGCCTGGTCGTTAAGAACCATCCTGTCTACACAGAGGACGGAAACATTTCGCCCCAGAACCCGGCCTCTATACCAAATGATGCGGTCGAGTACCTGGGTCGTAGGCTACCAGATGAGATACTACACTACATGTCAAAGGGCCTCATCAGCCCACGCATCCTCCAGTGGCGTACTACTGGCGAGATATTTGAAGTCCCCCCCATGGACGGAGGAGATTCGCCGGAATACAGGAATCTTGTGAGCTCAAAACTAATCCCACTACGGACATCGGCCATAAACTTGATTTCCAGCTCTCTGCACAACTGGTACCGACACAACGATCTTGAGCAGACAAACTGGTTTTCGCCTCAGGATTCAAATAGGAAACTGGCATCCACCACTATCCACGTGGAGAGGCCATCAGAAGCACAGGCTCCCTCCATTGTTGATACATGGAATGTCAAGGAATCCACCTTCAAAGACACCGTTGGAAAACACAATGTAAGCAATTGCCTTAACTGGCTTTCTTTTGGCATTAACATGAACATTAGGATTGCGGAATCCTTGGAGCAGCTATCTTGTCTTTGCAAGATGCTGATTTCGCTGCCAAGACCATATCTAAGAAGGAACATAAGAACCCACTCGCATCCTCCACCGAGATCCTTTACAACTCAATATGGCGCTTCCTCGCTTTGCGTGAGTACGTGGATCAGAAGACGCACAACTTGACTCCATGGGGAAAGGTTCTTGCTGCTGTTATCTCTGGACTTAAGGGCAAGCCAGAACATGAAGAGGCAGCGGTACTGGCAGTTGAGTTGATTCGCATGGGTCTCTTGACTTCAGATATCAACATGTTCCCTACATACAACGGCGCACCAATGCGTGGTAGCAGTAAGTCAACAGTTTAGATCCGGACAGGTTCACATAACTAACAACCCCTCAGCAAAGGACAAAAACTCGAATATGCTAGTATCTCGCGTTGCCGGTCTTGGTATTTTACACCACCGACCAATTGGCTTTACTGGTCCTCTCAGCCAACACCTTCTCGGATATAACTCCATCATCAATGTTGTCCGTCAGACACTGCGGGAACTTGTCGAAGTGGCATGTACACACATGCTTTTGACTGGCTGTGCCAATCGGCACGTTGATATTACATCAGTCGCTATGAAGTAAGTGCTTCTGGGGATTTTTCGTTTCTGGTAGCATGCTGACGTTCATCAGACTTCCCTTCCTTTTACCGAACAACTGCGCACTTAGCATTGCCGTCAAATCCTACCTTGATGAGTTACTTAGTAACGACGCCGATCCCACCGCTGCGGAAACCAAAGCACGCGTAATTGAAACGGCATCAACACGCTACTTCCCACAATCACTCAATTTTGTTGAAGACCTCACGACGGCATTCTCTATGTGGGACGCCATCTATGCTGGAGTCAACAGTGCAAGCAGCGCGACAATCCCAGAAGCCACCAAGCAAGCCTGGACGGAGACGAACCAATGGCTCGCTGAACGGCGATAGTACCGCGGAGATGACCAGAATATTGAGGAGTTAAAGCGCACAATGAGAAGGGAAGTGGCAGAGTACATAGCTCAAAGGACTCGATTACGAATTCTCAGGGGTGCCATGCGGGGCCTGAGACGACGTCAGGCTGCGGATCCAAGGGGGAGAGAGGAGGATTTGGAAGCTCTTGATGAGCAGATAAGAGAGCTGGCTTTATTGCTAAACTATGGGGAATAGTCATAATAAGATGAGACCCGTAGGCTTATGCTTTCGAAATGAGAGATTTCGCAGGAAATCTAATATTTTACCCTGTGAATTGATAGTGTATTTTTGCTTTGCTGGCTGTGATGTGACCCTACACTTATGAAATGAGTGTTGTGTAGTTGTGATTATGCAATTGTTCTGAGCGTAGTAGGCGAGTCATGGACATTTGGACATGACTGATGAATGACAAGCAATACCCTCATACCTTGAAATGGTTAATAGCGGCATACATCTTCTGTTCTTCTACTTTTGCAGGACACATGTGGTGCTGAACTGAGAGAATTGAATAGCTCCTGGCTCATACCAGCGGGTGGACGTTGTACTATACGAAATCGGGGCTTCGGGCAATATGCCTTATCGATACGTGAAGGCCCCCCCCCATCACAACGTGAAACTACCGCACCTTGCTTTTGTTGGAGCCACATTGGCCATTAGTGTTATTAATATCCAGAGAGAGTGAGAAATAGTGAAGGCATGTTAAGCTGTTATACTCTGTTGGCGGGTTCGGGCCAGATTCACTTATCGTAAATACCCGAAGAACTGATATAGATATCTCTCTTGGCGTTCCTATGGTGGCGGAAGTGAGGCTGTAGCAGGCTCCAGGAGGACGCGTAGCAACGCCAGTCTCAGTTGGGTACGGCTAGTATTAACACCCACGGAACAGCGATTGGCCAAGCCGGCGCCTCTAGGTGGCGATGGGATACAGCTCGCGGTGAAGGGGACACAGTGTTTCTTAGTACCTAGTTTTGCTTGTCTAAGCGGTTCCAGCAACTTCCAATGGCGTTGCGGACCGAGCACGGACCTTAAGGCAACATTGAGCTAGCTCTAACAGTGAGATCACCGACTGTTCAAGCTCCAACTTACTTAAACCACCACGCCCCAGGCATAGAAGGTCGTTTAAACTCCATCTAACCCCCCACCCTACCCACCGATACCCTTCACACCTGCGTTGCTGCGTCAACTGTCACTCCTTGTACCGGAACCCCGAATCCCGCAGCACATCACATAGACACATCAGCAACATGTCGGCTGAACCAGACCACACGAAGCCGAAGCCGGATCTCTCAAAGTAAGTTGATCGCCACCGGCTTTAGAATTGACAGCATACTTACATGTCGATAGAAACCCGGACGGCGCTGAGCCCAAGGAGGTAGGCACTGATCAATGCTCTCGATGCGACGGCCCCACTAACCCGCCACAGAACGATGAGACCGCGACCGCCATTCTCAAGAAGAAGAAGAAGCCAAACTCGCTGATGTGAGTATATCTAGAAATGAAACTCTGAATTGGATACTGACCTCTATAGCGTTACCGACGCCGTCAACGATGACAACTCTATCATCGCCCTCTCAAACAACACCATGGAGACCCTCCAGCTCTTCCGTGGTGACACAGTCCTGGTAAAGGGCAAGAAGCGAAAGGACACCGTCCTCATTGTGCTCGCTGATGACGACCTTGATGACGGCTCAGCGCGGATAAACCGTGTTGTTCGCCACAACTTGCGGGTCAAGCACGGCGACGTTATCACCATCCACCCGTGCCCCGACATCAAATATGTATGTGTCATAGTGATAACAATGCGATTTCTGCTCAATTCTAATTTCTATCACAGGCCAAGCGCATTGCAGTCCTCCCCATCGCCGACACGGTCGAGGGTATCACCGGTTCGCTCTTCGATGTTTTCCTTGCCCCATACTTCCGCGAAGCCTACCGACCGGTCCGCCAAGGCGACACCTTCACAGCCCGTGGTGGTATGCGGCAAGTCGAGTTCAAGGTCGTTGAAGTCGACCCACCAGAGTTTGGTATCGTAGCGCAAGATACCGTCATCCACTGCGAAGGCGAGCCCATCCAGCGTGAAGATGAAGAGGGCAACCTCAACGAGGTCGGCTACGACGACATTGGTGGCTGCCGAAAGCAGATGGCACAGATCCGAGAGTTGGTCGAGCTGCCACTGCGGCATCCTCAGCTCTTCAAGTCGATCGGTATCAAGCCTCCACGTGGTATTCTCATGTACGGACCTCCCGGTACCGGTAAGACACTGATGGCTCGTGCCGTTGCAAACGAGACTGGTGCCTTCTTCTTCCTGATCAACGGTCCCGAGATCATGTCCAAGATGGCTGGTGAATCAGAGTCAAATCTGCGCAAGGCATTTGAGGAGGCCGAGAAGAACTCGCCCGCTATCATCTTCATTGATGAAATTGATTCGATTGCGCCCAAGCGCGAGAAGACCAACGGTGAAGTTGAGCGCCGTGTTGTCTCTCAACTGCTTACCCTCATGGACGGCATGAAGGCTCGCTCCAACGTTGTCGTCATGGCCGCCACCAACCGTCCCAACTCTATCGACCCTGCTCTTCGTCGTTTCGGTCGTTTCGACCGTGAAGTCGACATCGGTATTCCCGACCCAACCGGCCGTCTCGAGATCATGCAGATCCACACCAAGAACATGAAGCTCGCCGACGATGTCGACCTGCAGACCATTGCCGCCGAGACCCACGGTTATGTCGGTTCGGATTTGGCGTCGCTGTGCTCTGAGGCTGCCATGCAGCAGATTCGTGAGAAGATGGATTTGATCGATCTTGATGAGGACACCATCGATGCCGAAGTGCTCGACTCGCTCGGTGTTACCATGGAGAACTTCCGCTTCGCTCTCGGCGTATCCAACCCATCAGCTCTTCGTGAGGTTGCCGTTGTTGAGGTGCCCAACGTTCGATGGGAGGACATTGGTGGTTTGGAGGACGTCAAGCGCGAACTCATCGAGTCCGTGCAATATCCTGTTGACCACCCAGACAAGTTCCTCAAGTTCGGCATGTCCCCATCACGAGGTGTGCTCTTCTACGGTCCTCCTGGTACCGGTAAGACGCTTTTGGCCAAGGCTGTCGCCAACGAGTGTGCGGCCAACTTCATCTCCATCAAGGGACCCGAACTGCTCTCCATGTGGTTCGGTGAGTCTGAGAGCAACATCCGTGACATCTTCGACAAGGCTCGTGCTGCCGCACCTTGCGTTGTCTTCCTCGATGAGTTGGACTCTATTGCCAAGTCGCGTGGTGGATCTCAAGGCGATGCTGGCGGTGCTTCGGACCGTGTTGTCAACCAGCTTCTGACTGAGATGGACGGTATGACATCAAAGAAGAACGTCTTCGTTATTGGTGCTACCAACCGACCGGAGCAGCTCGATAACGCGCTGTGCCGTCCTGGTCGTCTGGACACGCTTGTCTACGTTCCTCTGCCTGATCTGGCGTCACGTGTCAGCATCATCAAGGCTCAGCTCCGCAAGACACCTGTGGCTGATGACGTTGACATTGACTTCATTGCGCAGAACACACACGGATTCTCTGGTGCCGATCTTGGTTTCGTCACCCAGCGTGCCGTCAAGCTGGCAATCAAGCAGTCAATTGCGATTGACATTGAGCGTCGCAAGGCTCGTGAGGCTGCTGGCGAGGATGTCGACATGGAGGTTGACGAAGAGGACCCAGTACCTGTGCTGACCAAGGCGCACTTTGAGGAGGCTATGCGCTCTGCCCGTCGTTCGGTGACCGATGTCGAGATCCGCCGGTACGAGGCGTTTGCGCAATCAATGAAGAACTCTGGCGGCTCGAGCTTCTTCCGCTTCCCTGATGCGGAGAATGCCGCGGCTGGTGGTGACCAGAACACATTTGGTGCTGGTGGCGAGGATGAGGACCTGTACAACTAAGGAAAGGGTTGTAGCTGGGAAGAGCACAAGAAGAATGGGACTGGGATGATATAGCCATCATGAGAGACGGGCTTAGCGTTTTTTTTCTTCACGGCAGGGCACTGCATGAACAGGGCCTTTTGAGGGTTCTGGATGAGTGCAGACATGAGGGGGTAATTGGGGAAGCATGACGACGATGATGATGATGATGCTGAGATATTGGTAGCAGCAGCAGCAGTAGTAGTTGCCATGATGCAGTGAATGAATGAGAATGCATGTTATGAAGAAGATTTGTATTTTTATTGTAATGTGATGTAATTTGATGTGATTGATTGATTCGTACCTAACGTGACGAGGGTATTTCCCTGGCACTATGGTGGTAGATGGGTCTACATACATGGATTGATTGTTGAACAAGAAGTTGTAGGTGGCTACACGGGAGTCTTGTCTACATGTACAAGTTCTGCATTCTCTGTCGTTGAGATGTGATGTATGTGTTGTGCATGGATATGCTGGCGAATAATGGATCCAAGGTGCTGCAACGGTGGCAGTTGCAAGGGGGTCCGTGAGGCCCTTGAACAGCGTTTTGCAGCGGTGGCATTGGCCCTATAGTAAGTAGGGGAATTTTTTCTTGACTGACAATGTGGCCTCTTTGCAATGTAGTCGTGATCCATAAGTAGTTTTTTTTTTGGATCGATGATAGATAGAGAGAGAGAGAGAGAGCGAGTGAGGCGAATGAGTCTTGGATTGGAAATGGAATGAAAGCAGAGGGCCATATATCACTTATCATCCTCATACGTAATCTCACACACCTTCTCCAACTCTTTCATCACACTCTTGGCGCCAGCATCAATTGCTGTTTTGGGGATTTTAAGATCGAATTCCAGGGCGTCGTCTGTGGCTCCGTCAGCGCCGTTGAGTTGATCGTCGCTTAGACCGTTTGTAGCGGATTGCGACTGCTTGATGTTGCTACTACTACTGCTGCTGCCGTCCAACTGACGCGTGTGCTCGCGGATACGCTGCATAGCGAGGTTCCTAGCCTCTTCGCACGTGGTGGCCTGGCCCGAGCGGAAGAGCTCGGTAATGTAGGCTCGGAGGGCGTCCTTGAAGCCCGACGAGCGCAGCGACTCGTCGAGCGTGGCTTCGATGTTGCGGATGCCGGGTCCCGCGAGCAGGGCCGAGTAGATGTTGTTGCGCAGGTCGCGCGAGATGCCGGACTGGGCTTGTTGCGTCGTGATGGGGATGGGGGTATCGGACATGATGGCGTATGTGTGTGTGTGTATGTGCGTATCGGATGTTATTTTTTATGTGGGGAATAGGGAGTGAGTCCGGTAATTGGGTGCGTTTTTTGGATAGGGTTGAAAAGAAAGGAGTGGTGTTTTTTAGGTATGGGAGGTTTGGCCGGGGATGGTTGGTCGAGGGTTTGATTGGGTATAGTATAGGATTGGCCTCCCTTCGCGGAATCAGGCGATTTTATTGGATGGGAGACGGGGGTTAGTAACCAAGAGAAAACAAGACCGAGTGGGGATAGTGTAAAGGGGAGTTAATTGATTGTGAATTAAGATTCGGAAAAGGGAAGGATTGGAGGGTGATTTCGATAAAAAAGAGAGAGGAGGCTTCCAGGGACGACGTTGGAAGAGAGCAATACCGGGTCAGCTTCCCAAAGTCGCGGTAGTTGCTGATCCTGTTCACGTGGGTTGGGGGCGCGCGTGGGGTTGTGCTTTCTCGCTACTGGGGGGAGGGGGGGGGCGGCGATGTAGTATGTCGTAATATAGGGATGGCAACTTTCCTTGTCAGGTGCGACGTGAGGTGCGGCGGGCGGAAGTAACCGATTTGGCGACGGGCCAGCCGGGGTGGAGGAGGGGTTTAGTTCACTTAAGCGTTGGCGGTGAAGATCCCGAGTTCGCATGGGATGAGTGGAGAGTGTGGCTAGGGAGGGGAAAGGGAGGGAGAGGGCGAGAATGGGATAGTGTGAGTGCTTGATAGTGAGTGCTTGGCTGGGGCGGTGGTATGAATGGAGAATGGAGAATGGAGAATGGAGAATGGAGAGGCAGGCAGGCAGGCAGGGTTACAATGGCAAAAGCAAGGAGAGAGGCCAAGGGCAATGGGGTGTGCGGGGCAATGTTACGTGTGGGTTGATGCTCGATGCTTGATGCTTGATGCTTGATGCTTGATGGCTGGACGTGGGTGTTGCATGCAAGTAAGTAGTGCGCTGGGTAGTGTACACGTAGAGTAAGTACTGACATCGAGGTACATGTGGTTGTAGGGCCTGTTAGCGGGTGCGGGCGGTACCTGCATGCTTTATCGCAATATTGGCTTCCAAGCAGCAGCAGCAGCGTCCAGCCAGCACGGACGCCGCCGGCTGCCCAGCTAGCCGCCTGTCGGACGGTATAGGGTATTGGCAATCCAGATGCAGAAGCAGACGCAGACGCTGCCTGCCCGCCCTGTTGGCGCTCGACTTCTTTCTTTCTTTCTTTTCTTTCCAGCCAGCGCCCTCTTCTCTCCCCTCTCCCCTCTCTCCCTCTCCCGTCATCTCTCTCTCGATTCCCATCCTCCCACCGGCTCGCGTGCTGTCCCCCCTCCCCCCCCCGGCGCATTTGCATGTTGTTGCATCTGCTCGTCATCTTGCTCGCACGGTCGAATGCACAGCCCGCCGCCACTGCTGCTTGCTTTGACGACACGCCCTCTCCCCCTCAGGCCGTCCGACGACAAAGCGCCTAGCCGCAAGCCACTCGCCCGGCGACGACAACCCTCTCCTTCTCCCCGCCTTGCTGCTCACCTCTGCCCCACCGGCTAGCTGTGCATCTGAGACTGAGCCTGCACTCCCGCCCTGCTCCCGCCATCGACGAAACACGCCGTCTCAATCTCGCTTCGTCTCAGACAGGGTGCCCCAATCGCCCTGGGGCCAGCCTCGAGTCTAGCGCCGAACCGCCATCGATAACACAGACCTTGTCCCTTCACGAGCCTGCCTGCTTGCAAGAGAGAGGCCTTGGCATCATCACCGGCCGAGATTCGATATCTCTCTCTACCTACATCTCTACCTGCATCTCTGTGCCAGCCCTCGGCCTCTCCTCCTCCTCCTGCTGCTGCTGTCACTCCGCCTTCAGCCCCCTCGCGTCATGGCATACACCACAAAGTACCACGAGGATTCGGATGCCGACGACGAGTTTGAGCGCCAGGCCATCTCCAGCCCGACCCTACCCGTCGAGTACGAAAGCTCGCCTACCAGCTCCGGCCCGCTCAGCACTGAACACACGCCCACCACCTTTACCCATTCCCGCGACAGCAAGAGCAGCCCAACGGGGCACATCATGGAGTGGAACGAAGACCAGACTGCCGACTTCATCGCCGACCTCGGCCTCGAGCAATACTCGGATACCTTTGCTAGTACGTGGCCTTGCTCCGCCCACCTTGGCTCTGCCCGTGTACATGTGTGTTTTTACTAATCTCCTCTCCTACAGACGAGGGCATTACCGGAGACGTACTGGCTGCACTACAGCATGCAGAGCTGAAAGAACTGGGCGTGGGCAGTGTGGGCCACCGCCTCACCATCCTCAAGGCTGTCTATGACATCAAGATACGGCAGAATGTGCCCATGGACCCTGATGACTATGTTCCATTGTGTGCGTGTTCTTTTTTTTTCCTTTTTCCTTTTTTTGTGCCATCTGCTTTTCTTCACGCCTTCCAGGCCCTAACAATGTATAGCTGCCGACACATCGGCACAGGAAGCCCCGCCTACACAAGACGACTTTGCCAGAGTCATTCGAGTAGTCCAAGCGCGCGACGAACGCATCCATACGGCCGAATCGGAACTGCGCCACCTCCGAGAAGACCTCAGCCGCGTCATGGACGAGAATAAGCGCCTGCGCGAGGAGATATTACCTCTGATTCGCATGTTGAAAGACAACCAGCCACTTCCAACTCCCCATGAGCACACCCTCACCTCCCCTCCAGCAACTCAAGAGAGATCTGCTGGAAGCAGTCTGTCGCGTAAGTTCTCCACCAAGAAGCTTTTCCTTGGTTCCGCGCCAAAAAACCCCTCTCCAACCATCCAAGAGCATCGTGCCCTTGTCGATCATTCTTCGTTGGATCCCTCAGCAGCAGCCGTCGCAGCTTCCTCACACCTCACAGCATCCCTCGGCAGTGGCGGCCCACAAATGTCGCCCAACTCCATTGCCCAACCCTCGCCTACATCGCCCGCATACACACAATCCCAAAGTCGCCAATACAGCCGCGACATACCCCGCAGCCACGACCATGATACAAACTCTGGCTGGAGCCAAACCAACACGTGGAACTCCGATGCCAACTCCATATCCGATCGGAACCGCGATCCCCGCGCCACTCCCGCACCACTATCCTCGCGACCCATGCGAAACAATGCTGCGCCAACACCGAACCCCGAAGAACGTGATCCTCCACTTTCTGGTGGCTCTAGCTCAATGAACGCCCCAGCATCGGGCACTTCCTCTTCCACACCCTCCACGAACCCACAAGTCGAAATATTCAAGTCGTTCCGCGTTTCCATCGATGACCCTTGTCACAAGGTCCTTCCCGTTGCGCTCAAGAAATACAATATTACAGCAGACTGGCGGCAATATGCTCTGTATATTGTCCATGGCGATCAAGAGCGTTGTTTGGGACTGAATGAGAGGCCTTTGATTTTGTTCAAGCAACTCGACAAAGAAGGCCGGAAGCCCATGTTCATGCTTAGGAAACATGCCGCACCACAAGAAGGCCACGTCAGTACCGTGGGCGGCAACGATGTACGGCCTGTAAACCCTCAGACAGAGAGCTTTGGATGGGGCAACCAGAACAGAGGCACGCCTCTACCTGGTGGCGTGTTGTAGAGAACCCGCATCCCCAAGACCGGGTCAAGACTTGTTGTATTTTTTTTTTCTCTTGCGAGCAAGCAAGCATTGTAAGATTCAAGAAGAGCATTGGAAGAGCATTGGAAGAGCATGGTTATAGGCAGCCACCGTCGGTAGTGTGGAGCCCATGGTTTGCCATAGCGAAAGATGGCTCAAGGAGTCATGGGCAAGACGACGGAGCGTTTTGGTGTATCCCATCATGATGAATGGAGTTTTGGCGCATCGATAAGGAAGTTTTCCTGGCACATAAACGGCGTTTGATCTGCCCAAGGTCCGCCTTTGTTTACTTTTGTAACTTGACTACACCGTCCAGAAGAAGAAAAAAGGCAGATGGACGGTGTGTATGTCGAAGAGTTGGGTTGTCACATTTATTAGAGTATAGGGAAAGGGAGAAAGAGAAAGAGGGAGAGAGAGAGAGAGAGAGAGAGAGAGAGAGAAGAGGGTACCAGGTTCGGATTTTGGAGATGATCTATCTTGTTCTTACTGCTTTCCACACGAAGGGAGCCTTTTTCTTTCTTGGAGCAGCGACCTCGGTCCCATCAAAAGAGGCCACGCAAAGTTTTTTTTCTATATATTTTATTTATTCACTTTTAACTTATCTTTCTAAAGCTGTTTATCAGTATATTGATTGCACTTGGCGTGGTGGATTTGTACCGATGCATCTACTTCAAAAATGAAGAATAAAAAGCATCATGTTCTGTTGCTGATGATCGCATGTACGTGGTGGTTCCATTCTTTCTGTAGTCTTCGTACTAGTCTTGATCTCGACTACTACCCCCGTGTCTATCAACACCTCTATTTCTGCACCTCGTATTTTCCCCCTTCCCCCCTCCTCCATTCTTAGCTCCTCTCATACCTACCTTGCCCACCCCCTCCCCTTACCCAAATTACCCCAAGTCCACCCACCCCCCCCCCAAAAAAAAGAACCAACAATGCCTTTAACAACCCTCATCTTAAAAAAAAATATCGAAAATAAGATAAAATAAGAAATAAAGTTTGAACGGGTATTGACCGAACCCTCCCCCGACCCTCCTTGCGCTTGTCGTTCGCCTAGCCTTTTTTTTGCCTGGGATATACCCCCGTGTCTAAATTTTTTTTATTCTCTAAAAGTAGGCTGCGGGATATAGTGTATGTGTGTGTGGCTGGGCCTAATTTTTTTTTAGTGTGGCTGTGACTTGGGGAGGAACAAGATCAGGGTTGAGCTAGGAAGTGGGGTCTTGGGTCTTGGGGTTTGGGTGAGGGGAATGCTTGCGTGGGTGAAACAGTAGTTGGGGGGAGGGGGGGGGGGGGGGGTGTTGAATATGTGCGGGTAAGTAGTAGTGCGTGTGCTTTTCTTAGAACGCGGAGATGGGCGATAAATGCAAATCATTTTCCCGGTTGAACGGGGC